TGCAGGTATTTATCGTATAAAGTTAACCTCTTCCGGCTTATCTCTGAGCTGTGCTAGTTAGCGAGGTTTTGACTTTGAAAAAATAGGCTGTTAGTTCGTGTCCAGGCTTCAAGGACCCAGAAATCAATAGCTTTAGTTTGCATGCAATCCTAATGCCAGAGAAAAAAGAGGATAACTTATAAGCTTGTTCATCAAATAAGGAACCTCATACAAATTCAAATTAGCTGAACCTTCCTTCCGGAATTAAACATAAGTATTTCCATGAACGCCCTAATATGTTGTAAATCCCATCCGCAAGGAAAATGTTTTTGAAAATAACTCAGATGTGCATGTATTCTTAAATCATAAGCAACGTTCTGCCTTCCAAATTTTGTTTAATATGGATCAATTTTACTGGGAACGTCGAAAACGTAGCATTTGATTTCGTTTCTGAGTCAGGAAATAAGCGAGTTAGCGACGCATCATTTCATGATAATTAGTTCTCTGTGTGGTACTGTGCAATTCTTTGAAGATGACTTTCAGCAACACATGAGATACCTTCAGATAGGTGACCGAGAACATATATAGCCTTCGTGCAGTTCTTAAAGATCTAACTTGGGTGTTTAGTGTTGAGATCATTCACCTGGTCTTCTCACAAACCAGAACTACTATTTAAATCTGCCTCGAGCTTGACAATTGGAAACCCATTGAATATCTCGAAACAGTTGTCCTCTAAAAGAGACAAACTTTGTCCAAGTTCATGTTCGGGATTAAGAAAGTTCAGACGCTTTTATCGCTCATGTCGACTAGCTTGTCTAAGGCTAAAGGGTGTTGTGTAGTTTAATCCACTGGGATGACGCACGCTCCTTTACTAAGACAATCTTTTCAAAACATCTTCACACGAATGTACTCCAGTGACTTTTTTCTATAAACATTACACTGATCACGGCTTATGACGTCATTATGCATGATTTTTGTTTATGAATGGATTGCATGTCATTCAACGCTAGGCCACAAGCCATTATAAACTTTATTTATAAACACAAATGTACCAAACGGACCGTGATAAAGTACACTTTGTTAAAGATGAGCTTGCTGAGACCAGCTGTCTTGAAGAACCAAACAAGGGTCAGTTGTACCAGTTGTTTTAAGAATACTCTTTCACTAACTGAAGAGACTTCAATCGATACGATGCCTCAACTCTTTAGCTATTTTTTTTTTTTTTTGTCTTTTTCTCTAACCCCAATTTTAGCGATAGCCCACACGAAACAGATTTACTAGTCAAGCCATATGGGACATAAGAGTTGCTTTGTACTCAAGAGCAATTTTATTTTAACTTTCAGTCAAATGTCGCATCTATAACTGGAACAAAATTTAGAATAACGAGAAAAACTCTGAGGAGAGTAAAGAGATATATAAATTCCTTCAGGGTGCAATGCAAGTATTCGATTTAGGAACGTGCATCATATTTTTTTTTTTTCTACGGATATCTTCTTGTGTAAGAAAATCAGTGTGTGCTTTGGCTTGGGGTAGAACTATTGTGTAATAACTAGTAACGACAAAATGTATGGCACAGGACATCACATTTGTTTTTAATTCTAAGGTCACTATTTTGAAGCTGGATAACCTGCATCTTTTTCGGCCGTGATGGTTACTAAATCCTTCCGTCTTTTAGTTCATAAACTATTTGATTGCTACATTGCTATAAGAAGAAATTAAAAGGAAAAACACTCCTCAAGATTGAACCAAAAGGAAGAGAGGTAAGGGAAAAAATCGCCTTCATGATCACAAAATGAAATAAAAATAGGTCACTGAGGTCAATAAAAAAAGCCTTCAAGGTAATGTAAGCTAATTTGGGTCGGTTCTCTCCATCAGCGTATCAGATAGTTACGCGCCAACCTTAACAGTTTCAATAACAACAACAATAGCAAAGTTTCTGTGGATGGTTTATTTATGTCTCATAGCGTCGGAACATTAGAAGAGAGAAGGTCCTTTCTGATTATGTGTTTTGGCTTGACTGTCGCATACACTTGGCTACCACATGTAAAAGTCAATCTTGTTCTTTAAAAGTTCACATTTCATTGTATGAGATTATTCGATTCCTAAGCAAGCAGAGTTTAAGATAACCCTAAGAAGAAAAATTATCTACTTAAGGATACCTAAATCACGTTAAATTATCCTAGCTGGTGAATTCGCAGCTCATTCCATACTCAAACAACCTTTTTTGTGTCTTCTCAAGCTTCAGACCACTTAGCATGTCTAAAATAGACTCACTAGATTTTAAAGCAAATCGACAGGTGATAAATGATCTCAGACCAGAAAAAGATTCTTCTCTTAAAAACTTGATTGAGACATGATAATCGGCAGTTAATTGCGTCAATTAAATCTCCTCTCGATGGTCAGTTTTCTAGAGCTGGTATGTAGAATCATCAGGCACGTCGGGCGCACACAGCACTGCTGTACATCAAACTTTATGCCCCACTCTTAACAGTGGCTACTATAATAGGCAAGGAAAAGATTATTTTCGCTCTTAAACCAAGAAACCTTATTGCGTGCGGTTTAGCATTGGCAGTTTGTCGGATTTTGTTGTTTTAACTGATAAGGATCACAGATTAAAAGCCAGTCATGTTGAGAAGATGATAAAATCTCCACGAAACAAATAACATATTGACACTAAAACCAGAGTGCCAATGTCATTTAATCGACGTTACATAAGCACATTCTTACAGACTAAATGTCTAGAGGGCATTCGCTGTCTCGAAACACTTTTTGCATTTGCCAAATTTCCTCATTACACTTTTACGTTACCTAGCAAAGATTTTTCTTTTTTATTTCATAGAACTTTTTTCTTTTGACTTAAAATAAGTCTGGTATCTAGTTTGTACAGAAGCTTACAGAGCTGGGCCATCTCTGGCAAGAGAGGCATTTGTTTTTATGATAATAAGACAGAGTGAAGCTATTCTTCAAGCCCCTCTTGGCTAAGAGCATAGAATCATTCCACTAAAAATTAGGCTGTTAATAATAGAGTTTCGTGCTTTCATTGGCTTCTCTTCTAAACTAGCTATTTAATCCCACTAGCGCAGACTTTCATTAGCATGATCCCTTGAAAATAACTCGACTAGAGTTAAGACAATGTCTTCTTAGTTTTGACATAATTAGAGGCATCTCGAACGTGTATACGTGACTATGAAACAGAGGGTTTTAAAAATAACGCATCCTAGCGAGAGATAAGGCATAGAGGCACAGGTCTCCTTTGGGTTAACAGAGGAACAGAGACGCTTTGAGGCTAACAGCTATCAACAGATAACAGTTGACAAGCTAACCAGGCATAATGATATTTTGGGCAGCCGGGTAAAATAAACACTGGGCCGTTATGAGAATATGCTAACTGAATAACGCCAAAATGGCGGCAGTAATGACCACATTACGCTTTTACAGCAATATTTTGTTTTAACGTCTTTATAGAACAAACAGGTATCTTAGGGAAAGTAAAATATTTGCACCTTTTGTATGGGTTGACATTTCTGACACAAGTAAATTTTGGAAAATTGTTGTCAATTTTCGCCAATTAAATTATCGTTTATCTTTTGGGGACAGGCGTATCGTGTCAATTATTTTCATTAAAAAAATATCGTCCTTCGATTACCGCCAAGTGCGTGGGGTTTTAAGTGCAAATGTTGACCCTACCAGTGGCCAGTTTTTCACAACACCGTGAATTTGGAGGTACAATTAGGGTGACTCTGTAATGTGCTGGGCTATTTTGTACTATTGTGAAACAACATCCGGAAATAACTTTTCCACACGGTCGAAAATATTGTTAGGAAAGGTGAATGAAATAAGGCTGTAAAATCTTTGTCCAGTTCGCAGGTTTGTTTAAGGGAAATTTTAACGTAAGCTAATCGCTTTGTCAGGCAGAGTCTAAAGCGAGGAAATGAAATGGAAGGTTCTTTTCGAACGATGAAATGGTCACAGGATTTTACACAGGTTACCGCATTATTGATCTTTTACCCAGCAAGAAGCAAAATCTTTCAGTGATATTAAGCCGATATTTCAACTGAAGTTTACACCGCGTATAAGGCGTTAAACAGAAGGCCACTTAACACTTGACTTTTCATGTTTTCGTCAGCTCTGTTGCAATTTAACAGCATGAGAAAGGTTTGTTTAAGAACTCCGGAATTGTTGATCTAACCATAAACCGTTCGCAGAGATGATTCGTAAGTCCGGAAAATAAGCTACATCGTTGATAGTCAAAAACGCTAGTACTTATTTATCAAATTTCGAATTTTCTTCGTTACTGAAGATCTTAATTAGGGCTTTTAACTTTTTGTAAGTTAATAGCCACTGTACGAGAAGTATCGTAGTAATCCAGTTACGTTATTATTCGAGCTTTTGGCATCATGGGCAACATTCAGGGGTTGCAAACAAAAACCAACAAAGCTCTCTATTTTCACCAATCGATTATTTGACTCGAAAAGGCGGCTGTAGATTCCTCTCCATCGACAAAAAAAAGTTTTTCAAATTGCTTACTTCTGCAAAGCTTTGTTTGAACCCATTTACTGTAGCGTTCTTTACTTTTAAAAATGTCGTGACAAACGTTTTCTTTGTGTCCTATTTGGTACACCTGCCAAACCTATATTGGCTTTTAGGCTGTCCCATATCTATTTCTCCCCCTAAAATAAACATATTATTATACACTTGGGTGATGAGTGTCGCATTTCATGCACTTGAAAACTACGATGTCCAGACGTTTCCAAAAACGCACATTAAACATACTTAAACTCCACCTGGGAGAGCGTCTGCTAGTATTCTGTTAAACGAAATAAAACAAACGCGCGCGTTAGAAAAGCCGGGCTGTTATTTGAAAACTGACCGAGGAGTCTTCACATGTGCTTATCAACTCCTTATCGGCTCGGTATGGGTTATTAATGTCACTCCTATTCGCTCGTTATCTGTTACAATCTCGCGTGATTGTTGTGGCGCCGCGAATCTAATGGTTCTTTCTTGCTTTTGTTTGCAAACAGCCAGGGACTTCGCCCGAGGATTCACGCAAGATGAACACTGCCCTGGTCATTTTTGCGGTTCTCCTATGCTCCAGTTGCTGTTTGGCGTTTGATTGTCCGAAACAGTGCAGTTGTGGGGAGACGATCCGGTGCAAAGTGAAAGACTTGAGGATCTTAAAGAAGATTTTACCTACAAATATAACAAGACTGTAAGTATATTTAAAAGCAAAGCATTTGACTAAGCATAGGACAGAGATGTGCTCTCCGGCATAATCCACACTAATGTTGTTCGGCCAAAAAAACACAGTAATAACAAAAAATCAAAGTTAATGTACACTGAAAATGAGCAAGTCGTATATAGGAAGTTTTTCGAAGTATTGGTTGATCTAAGCGCTTCTTAGAAAATATGATTTATCAAAAACTAGATTAGTTCTCAATGGTGTCTTGCGGGGAAGCAATGCAGATTTGGGGGGTTTTTCTTTTCTTTTCAGCTTTTAGGCTAGACGCCAGAGTCGAATGTGGAGAAAAACGAACTTAAATCTGTTTTTCGGCTTAAAAGTATGAAAGACTTTTTGTTTCACATATCCTCGACCAGGTCATTAAGTAGACCCGCAAAAACGTGACCTTGTAAATAAGTGAAAGAAACGTTGAAATTTATGGAACGTTTTCTTTCACAACTCAGGCTTGGGTGGCCAGAGTTAATTGTAGCATATTCGCATGCAAAGAAGATAAGTGGCATCAAAATATTTGTCTTTTGGGGGGTAACTCGAACTGTCTCAAGTTGCTAAATTCAGTTTTTGTGATCCGGAAATGAAAAAGGGACAAACAGATGACGACTAATTTACTAAGCACTGTTGCTATTTAATATACAGATACAGAAGATGTGGTTTTCATTTTAAAGTTTTATAATCAATTTAATAAAGTAGTTACAGATATTTAACACGCAATTAACTTTTTTGACAGCAATGAAAAACTAAAAATGCAATGAAATCGATAATGACAATAGGAAGCCAGTTTTCGAGTGAAGGTTTGTAAGGTCGAGCGTTCAAAATGGCCCAAACTTAAGGGACTTTGATGATCGCAGATGGTAATTATGACCATAATTAAAAACAGTTTTTTTTTTGGATGTTCTAACAAAAAATCAAGAATATAAAAAATAGTATAACTAATGAAACAAAGGGCGGTTAAACGATTACAAAGCTCCATGATTATAGAGCACTCTCCGATTCGAGGATAAAGTTTTTTTACGTTCATATATATA